CTCCTTTTGGTCTGTATGAGTTCGTCAGGCTTCCATTTGGCCTGAGGAACGCCAGCCAGACATTCCAGCATTTTATCGATAAAATGCTGAGAGAACTGCCATTCGTCTTCTCTTATGTTGATGACTGCCTCGTGGCCAGCCATTCTGAGGAAGAGCATTTGCAGCATCTAAGCCAGATCTTCGACTGCTTCCGCCAGTACGGGATCATCAACAAGGAAAAGCGCCAGTTTGGTATCACCCGAGCTCACGTTCCTGGGATATCACATCTCGCAGCACGGAACAAAACCCCTACACGATAAGGTCGAAGCCATCACCACTTTCCCACTGCCTCAAATGCAGAAGCATCTCAGGCGGTTCCTGGGACTCATGGCATATTTCTACCATTTTGTCCCTCGCTGCACTGTCTTACTTCACCCGTTCTACGCTCTTGTACCGAAAAATGACAAGACAGTAATGAGAGCCGTATTCTGGACGACAGAGGCAACACAAGCTTTCGAGGAGGTGAAGAAAGCCTTGGCCAACGCCACACTACCGAGCCACTCTCACCCTGGTGCACCTCTCAGCCTAATAGCGGACGCCACTGACACCGGAGTAGGCGCCGTACTTCACCAGCACATTTACAGCCGTGCAGAACCACTGGCCTTCTACTCAAAAAGCCTGCAGCCACAGGAAACGCAATACTCTATGCTTGGTCGTGAGCTGCTCGCCACACACCTGGCTGTAAAGCACTTCCGCTGCTTCCTGGAGGGGCGCGATTTCTACCTCTACACCGATCACAAGCCCCTTGTGTCGGCTGCCTTTAATACCTCGGGTTGGCACTCACGAACGGAGCAACGGCACCTGGATTTCATCCTCCAGTTTATGGCCAACATTCGCCACATCAAGGGTGTAAGCAATAACATCGCAGACGCCCTCTCGTGCATTTTCGCGCTCTCACCTGACAACTTTAATGCCTCCAAACTGAACTTCACGCTGCCTGCTGATGCTCAACAATGCGACAGTGACATACAACAGCTACGGACCGCGCATACAGGGCTCCAGCTTTGCGACATTCCTCTCCCCAACGGCAAGACATTGCTCTGTGACACATCGACCAACCGACTCCGTCCACTAGTTCCCCTGGATATGCGCCGACAGTTGTTTCAGTCGCTGCACTCGCTATCGCACCCTGGCATACGTGCAAAACAGACTCGTCAAACAGTGTTATGTCTGGCCCTCCATCAACAGTGATGTGCGAATCTGGACCAAGACATGCACGCATTGCACGGCCTGCCAAAGCTCTAAAATCCAATGCCCCACTAAGTCACCTGTTGGTACGTTTCTACCACCATCAGCTCGCTTTGACCACGTCCACGTCGACAATGATGGACCACTACCGCCCTCAGAAGGCTTCCGATACCTTCTAGCAATCTTCGACCGCTTTACTCGTTGGCCGGAAGTGGTACCCATCACCGAGATCACCGCACAAGCAGTCGCCAAGGCCTGCGTCTCTGGTTGGGTTGCTCACTTCGGGGTGCCCTCAACTGTGACAACCGACAGAGGCCGGCAATTCGAATCCGAGCTTTGGCATCAACTGATGAAACTGCTAGGTTCTTCCCGCATACGCACCACTGCTTACCGCCCAGCAAGCAACGGGCTAGTTGAGCGGTTTCACCACCAGTTGAAGGCAGCCATCATGGCCCAGTCGACACCAAGCAGTTGGACCAGGCATCTGCCGCTCATTCTGCTAGGGATCTGGTTAGCCCTTAAGATCGATTTGGGCTGTTCAGTGGTTGAGCTCGTTTACGGCTCTGGCTTGTGCCTTCCCGGAGAGTTTCTAGCCTCCACATCTGCTCCATCATCGCAGCCTAGTTCATACGTGGAGACACTCCGTAACTGTATCCAGTCACTGCATCTTACACCACGAATGCAGAGCTCTCAGTAGCAGGTTTTCATTGACGTATGGCACCTGGACCACCACTGCAACGCCCCTACGACGGTCCATTCAGGGTGCTCCACTGGTCGCCTAAGTTTTTTACGATCGACCCCCAAAGGGTTTGGCACACAGTCTCCAACGACCGGCTGAAGCCGGCCCACATCGACGAGGACGCAGATATTCTCAGCCCCAGCATAACAGGCCAACCAACGCTGCCTCCGGAAGCGACGCAAAACCTGCGACTACGCCACCACTATGCTCATGTCTGCGTACGAGGTCCGGCAATGTTGTATGGTCGCCGCTTCGGTTTCGACGCGTCACTTTCCTTACAAGTGATCGTCGGGAGGGGGCTGATATAGCGACTAAAGAATAATATTATGCAATATAATGTAATGTATAATTATGTAATAAGTATAATGTAATGTAATATAGTTAAACAGAATCCTATAATTGTTGTAACTAGCCATTCTGCTCATGTAACTGTTGATGAGCCGGCTGGCTGACGTTATTGAACTTGGTTCGAGACTTGAGCCGAGACAGCTTCATTCAGTCAGCCAGTATATATACTCGCGGGAGGCCTCGGAACGGCCACTCACTCTCGCACAGTTCTCCTAGCCACACCAATAAACTGGTAACCATAGCCTGAGTTTTCCTGGACCAAATCCTACAATACCAAAACCCATCAAAAAATTCTACCATAGGTTTCACCTCAAAATCAGTTTCTGTGCTAACCTAACCTGACCTAACCACCATTGTTCAGAAATTATATATTACCTAACCTGGCTAACCATAGGGGGGCAGAGAGATGGGGTGCTCTGCCCCCAGGTCCCCTGACATAGCTCATATCAAAGTAACCAACCTACCCTAACCTAAGCAAACTAATCTAGCAAAACCAAACTAACCTAACCAAACTAATATAACCAAACGCAGGTAACATCTACACTGGACTTAGAAAATATTCATTGACTTCCTAACAAATTAATGCGATTTTGGGTGAAATTTCGGTAATGCACCAGTCTCTCTCTCCGTTATTTATGTTTTTCGTAATGTTTAGACAATCCAAAGACCTTTTTCTTCTATGATATTTCCGCCGGAAATTAAGGATAACCGAGATATTAATTTTTCAATATCATTAGATTTGGTCAGTCACAAGTGTTGCCATTTGTTGTTTTCATCTCACAGAGAAGGTCTGACCACCCATCACGCAGTGCTCCTTACCTCCGTGTTGACTTCTTAAGCGTCTACAGCGCATATGCGGGGGGTGGTGTGGGAGTTTCTTATTGGCTATAGCGATAGGAGATTTAAAATTGGGCAAGAGTTTTTTGTCATAGCCAATGAACAATACGTGGGTGCGTCGGGAGCAGAGATTTTATTTTTCAGTACTAGAATAACCAGATATGGCTGAACAGGTGGAAAGAGCTGTGCCGACATTTTGATGGAGATTATTTGGTAAATTTGTTTCAGCACACCCATCTCTGTTAGAAAGTAAAAAATATATTTTTCTAGTGTATTTGTGTGTGTTTAGACCGATTATGACCTTCATTTCCGTCGGAAATTGGCCTCTTTTTTTTTTTTTTTTTTTTTTTGTGGGACATTTTCTGGAAAAAAAAAATAATGGCTAAGCAAATACAAAATACACACAAAAAAACACCAGAAAATCATAAACCTGACCAGACCTAACCTAACTGACTCTCACCATATGATGGAATCACTTATTTCTTACCTTATTGGCCTGGTTCTCAGTTGAGTTACCACAATGCTACATACTGTATGTTGGTCTTGACGATATTTACATTCGTTCTTGCACTTAGGACACTTTACTGAGGTCGGGAGAACACCGTGATATCGAAAAAATGCTATAGTTTCTTCGTTTTTTCCCAAAATACTTGCAATCAACTCCATATAATTGAAGTGACACCCATCGCAGACTTCCATGGTCGGAAATGAATTTGAATTTCCAAATATGAGAACCAAAATAAAAATTGAATTTGATTAGGCCAAAAATACCGCAAATTAAACCACAAATAATTTTAATTGGGTGCAAAAAAAATACGCTTTTGATTGGCCGCGTGACGTGTACGGGAACGCATGCGCGTGGTGATTTATGAAGGAGACAAGCAGTGTGGGAGGTGAGGTAGGCGATAATGGCGGAAGATTAATGGGAGATAATAGAGAAAATTTTGGATACGTTATCTCCGTTATTATACATTTGCGACGGTAATATAATAGAATAAAATTATCTTATAATTAGATGTCTTATTCGAATATGATAATAGATTAGTGGTAGGAGAGTTGTGTGCGAAAATGCAATAATACTGATTGTTTTACGTCAATTGCAGTTTCATCAGATAAATAGTGTTAGGTTAGGTTAGGTTTGGTTTGTTGGTATTTTATTCATGTGATCTACTCGAAAAGAATCGTTAAGATTAATGGGGGGGGGAATAAAAAAAACCTCTTGATTTACAGTTAGAAAGAATATCAAATTCGTTCGAAACGTCGAAAAACATCGGAAAAACTTATTTTTAATATCCAAACAAAGACCGGTGCATAAGTGAAATTAGTCTCGATTCTCTCGAAAAAGAATCATTTTCGACAGAAACGTTACTAAGAAGAGTTGTTAGAAATTATGAGGTATACTTAGAACTGGATCCAAAAATATTGTATACATGATGGGCAACTTGCAAATAAATACCTGATTATCTTGGGTAGTGTGCATACACTCTCTGTGGTGACCGGATAAAACCCCAACGGACAAAATCCCAGTCTCATATAAAATATAAAATAAAACACTTTAATGTTTAGGTTTGGTTAGTGTTGACAAATGACAACCCCGTTGGGGTTTTGTCATGGAACCCTCTCTCTATACCTGCATCGTCTGTGACTATTGTATTTACATTCACGCTGAACTTATAGGGTTATTTCACTAAATAAATGCGTATCTACATAAAATACTAACTCCCTACTGATTATTTAATAACAGTTTTTAAGGAAATCTCATTCATATGTATCAATAAAGCACAAAATCCAATTGTAAACATTATCATATTTCTAGAAAGGCAAGTATGAACCTTTTGATTAGTCTTACCCCATTGTCTAGTGCTGGACTCAATATGGTCACTCATCTGACAGCTGACTGCTGCCAAGGAATATCAAATATGAAGGAAAGTATAATGTCCTCCCAAGCAAGGAAAGTATATAAGAGGAAACGTATCTCACCTTACTTCGACGCCTCCGATTGGCGTCTCGTGGCAAGCCGTCACAAAGAAAGAAAACGATTTTATTTAACCTTTGTGGGTATACTATGCTATAAAATGAATATATACCGAAAACTACGCGATATACATCTATGCCTATATATTTTTCTTTAGATTTATTTCTTATACATTAATTACAAGTACAATTTTTTTTATAATTAGTTCATAAACACATTTCTACAAGATTCAAGTCATCCTCTTCTTCAATCACAACATATCTATGCTAATCTTTTACTTTAACTCTTTGCCTTCTAATCAGCTCGTTAGCTGCTTGGGCGGTTGGTCACGTCTCTGTTATGCACGGTTGGCAAGTACTGGGCATGAACTGGCTCTTGAATATATTGGAACCTGCTCACGTGTTTGTCAAGTCTGGTCTTGAAAGAGCTCACACTCGGTGCCGTCACAACACTTTCTGGGAGATTGTTCCAAGAGTTCACAACTCTCACTCCGAAAAAGTTTGCCCTCAGTTTTCTGGACTTGCGGCTTCTTCAATCTTGAGCTGTGACCCTGTGGGGTTTCTTGATGTATCCACTACAACCCCTTGTGGGGCAAGCATCTGCCAGCTCCAAATAAGGACACTCAACTGAGTAGTGCCCCTTGAGATGCTTATACACCTCAATTAGGTCTCCCCTTGCCCGTTTGTAGTATAAGCTAGGCAAGTTCAGGCGCTCCAATCTCTCAGAGTAGCTGAGGTGCCGAAGTGCAGGCGGCAGTCTGTGGGTAATGTGAATACTGAATATGTAGTGGATTCCTCCCCTACAAGCACCGAACCTTCTCGAATTCCCCAGCCTACGCCTCAAGCGCCGCTCATGGAGCGGGGGTCAACTATCTACCCACGTCTACCCCCGCCTTATAAGGCCTGACACCGCTGTGACCAGTCTCTGTCTTTCTACTCAGTGCCACCAGCAAGCAATACCTCCACCGCCGCTCCCGCCAGCGACCTTGGCGTCCCTCAAGCCGCGTGTCCCTTCTCTGGGCACCCTCACCACCCACCTCTCTCTACTCAATGCTTATTACCATGCTACCTACCCAGCAACAATCTGCATTGTACATCCAATACAATATGTATACAGTGAGCACATTGTGAGTTTCCTTTCTCCATCCCATCCTGAGTGTGAACCAATATCTCATACCTCCACAATATTTCCTGTTTTTCTCCTTGTACATTAACACACGTTCTGAGGCATGACCCCTAAATTCCATGATGTTGAGTGAGTCTTTCATGTAATTCAAGATACTGTATATGTTTTTCTTCTATGTACTTACAAATAAAGTACACTAAATCTCAATGGCTTCACTCTTACTAGGGTTGGTACGCACATACACACAATTGTAAAAACTGCGCCATCCACACATTGAGCTAGCTACGCTAGTGCAGCTTTAATTTATTTTCCCACTTAGTACCGTGACTTACAGCTACGCCTTCAGGAACAAACTGGCAAAGATATTGTGAAAATTGTATCCACAAATTTCATCGAGCTGTATTCAGATCAAAGAACACTGCAGATATAGCTCAGGTACAAATGTTGATTTCTTGATGATCTGTACTCACTTTGTAGTGGATACTCTCCCCTACAACTGTCGACTGATCACCTGCCGTTCGCTTACCAGCCAATCAGTTTACAGCCAGCAACGTCGACAGACTAGGTCTCAGGTGCTGACGGAGGAGTACTATAGCTTACCAGCCAAGTTCAGCACACCAGTCCTCTCTCGCGTACTGCATGGTGATTGGCCTCGCACATTTCACACCTCGCATCTCTGATCCTAAGCAGCCGTATAAATACGCGTAGGCCTGGCTGCGGAGTTCGACTCCACGCTCCCGATCCAACAAGACCTCTCAACAAGCTTTACTGCTGGACCCGGAGCTGTGAAGACCGCCCTTTCTCTGCTGCCATTGTTGGCCAACTTTCCTGACCAGACCATTCACCACTGACATCGTCGACAACATCTCACGAGGGTTTTCGGTTTATCTAGCATTAGTTTTGCCCTCCCCACTGGTGGTGTGAGTGACCCACATCACAGCTGGAGAGCAGCTATAGCGCGATATTCCCGACGTGGTTTGACCTCTTTTCCTTCTACTACTATCTTTCCTTTTTTTGCTCTGGCCTAGGGACCTGCGGTCCCCTCTGTAACTGTTCACCTCCCTCCCAGGAGATTGTGAACACGAAAGGGGGTTGGAGCAAGAACCCATCCCAGCCGAGTCTTTCCAGGAAAACCGTGATCATGCGGGTCCACCTGGAAAGAGGGTAGCAATCCTCATCCTTACCCAATAGGCACACTTAGCTCACGTCTATAAATGAGCAGTCACATACACTAGGAAGTAGGTTTCCCCAACGGGGCTCCGGGAGAGAAGCTCAGGAACCACTCTACGACCACCCGGCCATCAAGTGCCTGTGGGGAGTGTTGAAATTCCTCCGTTACTTACTCAACCGGAATAGGTAGGCTCTGAAAAAAGGAAAAAAAAACACTTAACCACCGGTTATGGAGTGCGTACGCCCTCTTAACCGCCGACCCGAACCACGACAGGCTCCACACAGAGAAAGCGAACCAGCTGCGGGCCTTCCCTGAAGCCCTGAAAAGCAAGAACAACGTCATCCACACTACTGCCACCGCCCCCAACAACTCCACCACCACTGTTACCGCCACTGAGGATGACAACTGGACGAAGGTTGAAAAAAAAAAAAACGCAGACGTGCTTTTTCGGGAAACAAAGTCTGTCAAGCAGCCCAAAAGGCACCCATCACCACCACCAGCTCACCCCCAACAACACTGCCAAAATTCCGGATCTCGAAAACGGACACGAAAACGACATATGCCGCCATCACAGAGATGGAGAAAGAAAATTCACTGGCCAGGTTCTCAGTGCGGCCCAACCTAAAGGGGGAGATAATTATTCACTCCAAAGACAAGGACTCCGCCACCACCCTCGACACTTACCTGAAAAACACCACCACTGTTGCATCAACCAAGCTAGACCTCGCCCAGAAACTGATGAAGTCAGTAGTCCTCCGGTACCCAAAGGAGCTACCCCTCGAACCCCTGGAGAACCACTGTACTGTACTCTGATATTCAGGTTGTCCCTGGGTTACATATGAGTTCCGTTGCTACGGACATTCTTAAGGCGAAACACATACACTACTGTACTTACAACGCGATGTTTAAAATCCTACTATATCGTAGCTCAAGTCCTTATATACAGTACATCTAAAATCACTTAATTTAAGAGAAAAGAAGGAGCAGAATGACAGAATAAGTAAATGAAAGTAAAAAATAAGTCATTAGGTAAAGGTACAGTACTGGGTAGTAGGCAGCTATCAAACAGGGAGGTACTCACCTAGGAAGATATTGGAAGCAAACTGTGTTGTCTAATGTAAATTTATAGTTTAACTTTATGGGCCCTCTTTCAAATTGGCAGGATACTGATACTGTACTACCAAACTGCACAATTGCAATAATATTGATAATTACACAATGCCTGTATGCTATTTCGTTTGGTACACAAACTATAACAATAAAACATTTTATTTTATTCAATATAAGTACTGTATATAACAATTGTGTATTGTACAGGTAATTTATTCAAATATTTGTAAAGTGCATTTAACACTATCAGTTTCAAAAGTGTGCACCAAAACCATTGGATATTGGAATTATATTCCAACATTCCCCTATTATTATTTATTTATTTTAGAAGAGTGTGGGATTGCCCTCAAGAAAGTTCCTCTAACTCATAGTCCAGAAACTCATCAGTGTTGCCACATTTTGAAATTTGATTATCTTGATCAGGTTGTCAAATATCCTTAGATTTCCTTTAAAAAAATATTAAAATTCCTTATAAACTTCTTTTGATGAAAAATTCCATTGAAAAGAAAATTGGAATATTTCTGTAGAGCAATTATGGTAGATACTGGTCCTGAGTCTCCTGACCCCCAGGGCCCACTGCTAAATATACAGTCAGTCCTCGACTTACGACGGGGTTAGGGACTGACGACCAGGTCGTAAGTCGAAAATAATACATAGAACATCTAAAATGGGCATCTCTTTTTCTTCTCAGCACCACGAGAACTCTCACTTTTACTCTTGCCAGCCATTTTAAAGGGAATTACAAACGAAAATTTTGTCAGTACAGAGAGCGATCACTAACATTGGGACTTGAAAATACGTAAGTTGAAAAATATTTTATACGACTGCGACGGTCGTATGTCCGGGTGGTCGTAAGTCGAGGAGTTCCTGTATTAATAATGCCTATAGTCACATTACCCACATATTAATGCAAAAGTTAAACACTTACAGGAAGCAGACTGAAGTGCTGTAAACCTGCTTTGACACTAACAAAGTGAGTTAGCATGATGCGGCACTATAAGTACTGTACAGATACAATAAGTTACAACAAATTTATTTATGAAACTCCTTTAAAACTCACTATATTATATTTTCTTCACGATGTTTTCATTATTTGAATCCATATACAGTATTTTGATTAGAAAATTAAATAAACTCACTTATTTTATTCCCAATTCCTGATTTCCTTAGATTTAGCATTTCCATAAAAGTTCCTTGTGAGCACCAAATTCCCTGATTTCCTTGAAATTGGAAACAATAAAACTCAGTCCATTGTGATTGCCTTTTACCAGTAACATATAAAATAAAGTGTTAGCAGCAAGGAGGTTTAATATAGGTGGAGATGGCAATGAGGCACACTGAGTGAAGCCAGTTTGGCTGGTGACTGCCATATTGGTTGGGGGTAGGGTGCGAGCACCAGTACAAGTAACTTACCTTTAATTCTTCACTGAGAAATAAAGTGGAGTCAGTTTTGTAATACTGTAGAGGGTACAATTATATTTTTAATGAGACACCTTTCATTAAAGACTAAATTATACACAATTTATGAAATACTGTAATAGGAACATACAGTACACTGCTTGTCATGACAAAAGCAC